TCGATACAGTACATGCATTGTTCTGTCAATGATCTTAAAGATGCCGGCCTGCTACCTAACCATCATCCACTTGGGTCCTGGTTCGATATACCCAAGCTATGTATGTCACTGCGTCCTGCGTCCTTGGGTTTTCCGGTCGGGATGGTGAGTCAATGGACACTCCTGAACCTGTTTCTCCTTCTCGGGTCTATTCAAAGACTCTCCTTGTGGGGCTTTGGCACGTCCGCTGGCGAGTCAAAACCACCACCAAACCCTGACAGGTCGACCAAGGAATCTGTTCATCGACCCAGGTGTCCACCAGGGTCCGGTTTTCGCCCCCAACTGCCAGGTTACTAGGATTCACTAGGTGAAGAAACTTTCCAAGACGATCCCTAATCCACCAAAAATCCCCTGTCGAAAGCACCCAGACGATTTTCCCTTGAACATAACCATGGGTGTCCACTGAGTCCACTGGATAAAGCTTCCCAAATAGATAGATTGCTTGATCGATTGATTCATTAATATGATAATCCAATCATTTGTCTATTTGGTCAGAACGAGATGTTCTGTGTTTTGGGTTTCTGATCTTTGCATCTCTTTGTATCTGCCACACCCGTCCGATCCCCGGCCAGGGCGGCGACTCGCCGGTGCGCACCGCTGCCACCGACGTCGCTGGGCGAAGCGAACGGTGTCGTCTGACCGGGTGGGATGAGGTGATCGAGCAGCGAAGGAGGTAGGGTGTGTCGACTCGTTTTTTGTCGGCGAGGTTTTGTGGCGTGCACCGTCTGAAAAAGGATGAAAAAGGGACCTGACACTGGGCTGTTGATGTGCAAAGCAGTGATACACTTTTTCTGTTGACATGTTATTCAAGTTTGAGTGGATATTCTATACAGTCTATACATGTCTGCGCTGCTCAGAGGACTGAAAGCAGTCGACGGGGTGGAGGTGAGGGAAGAAGTGCACCGGAAGACTCCCAGGTGGCTAAAGTTAAATTCCCCAGGTGGGAAATCCTGCAAGAGTATGGCAACGTTTTACGATGTCCCAATCACAGAACAGATGTTAAGCATCACAAGAAGTCCCAACGGGTTCCAGTCGTACCTTCGTTTCGGTTCGGTGCAACTGGGGTGGGTTTTCGAGGGTCCGGATACGGCACCGTTCCAGTGTTCCACCCGTGTCCGTCCCTCAGAGCGATTTGGCTTCAGGCGATCGCGGTGCTGCAGCAGAAGCAGAGCAAGCTGTCGGAAGAAGAGAGCAAGGCCACCGCGCCCGGAGCGAAGAGCCAGCGCTGCTCATGCGGCGGTGGACGGGGGTTCGGTGGACGGGCGCGGGGCGTGGTTAGGCGCCAAAGGGGCACCGGGTCGTTCCGGCACCTCCAGGTTCGGTCCATCGAACTTGGATCCTTTAACCGACCAAAAGCACTGAGGGGGGGGGGCCTACTATTGCAGAAACTCCGGCGTTTTGGGGGTTAGTAGGGGTCCCCCTAAGTAGGGGCGCCCGCAAAAGATGGAAACCTGGGAAGAGCTTCAAAACCGAACAGTGACCTATGATAGGAAACATTTATACACAATCAAGCACTACATAATTTATTAATAACCTCGTATCAAAAATGGAAAACACCTCCAGATCAAAGGGTCTTCCCTCTTCCCTTTCCTTTTGCCTTTTGCAAAAGCCTTTTATTTAAAGCACTGATTCTTTCATTTTCTTCGATTGTGAAATTTCCATCAGACCAACAGTGACTAACAACTACGTAAAGATTTTGGAAGGTGATGTCGTTGTGCCATGCGTTTTGCGAGGCCTTGGTGGAAAGTGCGTTTGTTTGGCTTTGTGCCATTGGGGAAGGGTGCACATGCGTGTGCAATTGCAGCGTGTCGCTAGTGACAGAGGGGTACGATTGGTGGTGATTCGAGTGGGTGGGTACATACACAATGGCGTGTAGTTTTGCAGTCCAATACCGTGGTCTGTCGCCCCTCTGTGCAAGACTTCTCAGTTCTCAGGCGGGTGTCTTCATCCTGGCAAATGCCCGAGACAATTACATACTGCTTATATATGCTTTGAATAATCACCGACTTCTGTGCTGTGAATAGGCATGCGCTCCTTACAATACATGTTTTTCCTTCTTTGACACGATTAACTCGACAACCTTGGGTGTTGGGGGCGCCCTGCTAGATTGTTTGGGAAATGAGATGTGCTTTTGGGGGGGCAGGAGTGCAGTTTCGCATGGTCCGACTTGTAATAGTTTAATGGGGAGCACGCAGAGGAAAGATAGAAAATCATGTCGCCATCCTTTCAAGCCAGGATGCACGCTCATCATCCCCAAAGATGGGAAGAGGAACTGTTCATTCCCCAAAGCATCACAGCAAAGGAAATGCATGCTCAGGCTGGTGTGTCCAAATGATCATCCATGAAGCCCTTTGTTTGAAAGAACGCACTCTATTGAGAAAACGGAAACATGAACTGAACAAAAGGCAAGGGTCCTGGGGCCTACCCTTTTACACTCGGAGGATCCATTTTCAGTGTGTATCAGAACCGCTCCCAGAGTTTTCCTGATCTTGAACGAGGAATCCATATGCCAGATTCTTCAAAGTGACCTTTTGGAATCCCTGTTGGTGACCTTTCGCAGACCCATATCGTCACCTCAAACTGGGACATTGGGCCCTCATTCCACTACTATCACTATTTGGGTGCTGTGCCGATTGTCAAACAACGCTTCTTTGGGGGACTACGGGAGTTCTACGCTGGAAAGGAACTTGGTATTCTCATACTAAGCCCCCTTGGCTCCAGGTGGGACGACTGGAGCAGGCAAGTGATTGGGAGGGATCTCGAGCAGGGATCTGGCGAATCCGGGGAACAGCGTCCAAGATTGGAGACCTCCCCCCCGCGAGGAGTACTACTTCAGTCTTACCCACGTGCTGGTTCATTTGTTGATGTATTGATTGGCCAAGGTCGCAGTCTTGGGGAGTTGAGCCCTTCAGGTCTTTGAAGAAGGTATAGTCTAGACATGTCTAGACTGAGAAAGGTTAGTGGTTGGTTGTTGTTCCACTAAGATTTGAGAATGGTGATGCAATGTTATCAAGCACATTGGCTACTATTTTCTTGGGTTGGCAGTGACCCGGACTTAAAAGTCTCCATTGGGCACTCAGACGGATGGTTTAGATTCCAGATACCTCCCATCCATGCTTGAAACGACACATGCATATCCCGTATAATATGGAACTTCCACGGATGAATGGTTGACTCGTATATTTGGTGGTCCTTAATTAGCCATTGTCATTTGCATGTGGATGGGGGCAGCTGAGGAGAGGCCCATGCACATTGAGATGCAATCATCATGATTGGCTGGGTCAACGATATTGTTTGCAACCTACTTACCTATGAGATGACGCATTCTGAGTTCCAACTTGACCATACTTGACCCAAATATGTCTCAGATGTCTTGAAAGATGTTGAAACCTTAAACATTTGATACTGCGGTTGAGGCACCTGATGGAGACTTGCCAAGACCACCACATAGCCAGTGTTGGAAGTTCAAGCCTTTTCTAGCTTTCCAGCCTTTACAGCGGTCAGGACTTGAAGGAGAGTCGAGAGCTGCTGGAGAAGCACAGCCATAGGAGCAGCGGAACCGTCGTTCCCATCGGACTCGCGTCGGACTCGCGTTGTTCGGAGGCGGGCGAAGGCCGTTGGGGGGGCCAGTCCTTCCGTCGAGGCGAAGAGCGAAGAGCGAGCCGTGAACCGTCGTGGCGTCCAGCCACGTGAAGGCGTCCGGCTCCCTGTTTGGAGGTCTTTCTTCGGTGCCACCATGCCCATGTGTCATGAGTAGAGGCACAGGACTGGGAGAGGGTCACAGAGGGTCCCTGGCCAAACCCGGTGAATGGGGAGATGATGAGAACCACTCCCCTCGGGTCCTAGAGGCTGGATCCATCCGAAACCGGAGATGGACTGCTCCAGTTTGTTGTGTTAGTGCACTGCTGAGCGGGTTTTGGTACTGTAGTGGTTTTGGTGCTGAGAATTGCATTCAGAAGGTTTTTTCAACATTTTTCCAGGACCCAAGATTTGATCGGAGGTATTCATCGAGTGGGCGCCGGGACGAGTGGTATTCCACGACCCCTTCTTCACGGGTGACTGGTGGAAAGTTCGGGTGCACCATGTAGTGCCACAGAATTAGGCAGAAGTCAAAGGAAGTCAGTCATGTTGCATGAGGCCATGTGGATGGAATCCACATTAGAGGCATTATCGGCATCATCCCTTGAACACAGAACATGGGCCATACGGGATACATGTGCACCAACAACAGCTTTCCTGTTGTTGATTGCCCCGGCGACCGGCTGTCAGAAGGTCCAAGAAAGGTGGGGGTGACAAGAATCACCACTCCCCAACACTCCATGGGACTGCCATAGGCCGATCAGGTCAGGGGTGGTTGACCGTCGGCGGTCCATGTGCCAGTCCGATGGTCGTGGACAGACGGCAGTCTGTCCCGGTGACCTGGGCACCGAGGTTGCGCCCCAAACCTGACCCCCAACGAAACTCGTGTGGTCCATTCGCGACTGGACTGGATGGTCCACCACGACTGGACTCTGGAACCACCGGCCGTTGGCACCAGTTTGGGCACCGTGTCTCCGACTGCTGCAGGATGGCGGAGGTCCACGCAGAAGCCACAGAATGCGAGGTGAAGAGTAAGTGTTTGGCCGGGCTCCTGAGTGGTGGATGCTGATCTCGAAGTGATGGATCAAGATAAAACCATAGCTGCAGCTTCGCATGGCCAGAATCGAGTTCGTTGACGGGGTCCCACTGAAAGGATTGGGGATGGTTCACCATGTTCATACTTTCTGTGTGCAGTTCTGACCCTTACCTTGGTTTTGCTTTTGGTCGATGTGTTTTTCCCTATGGGTGAATCGCCTTCTACAACAGTCCCTTAAGCAAATCCAAGTTAATTATAGGCAGTTTGCAGTTTGCAGTGTGCACCTTTAAATTTACTTGGGTCAACACCGACCAACCCTCACACAAGGGTGCTGGCATGACTCTGCAGCTGTTGGCAGCTCTCCAGTCCATTGCCGCTCTAACAAGATTCCGGGATCGCAGCAAATGATGGCAGGTGAGACCGCCGCCAAGGGAACCATGGGCATTTTCATCATTTTTGTGCTCTCTCGCGCATTGCATCCCATGGTCATTGACTATTCCAAGGAGGCATCACGCGCATCCCATGCTTGGCATGTGCCCCCCCAACTCGCAGGGGGTAAACAGCTTTCACCTGTTCACCTGCCTGGGGTTTCATGTTAAGTTTTTTTTTTGGCAGCTTTCATGTGCCGCATCTCGCTAGAACCTGGTAAGTTATGTTATATATTGACAGGGTGAGAACACCCTGAGGATGGCAAGATGCTCTACTCCAAGAACTCTCCTGCAATCATGAGTCAGCTCCTCTCGATGGTCTTCGTGAACTTCTTGGCTTGGCAGGAGGAGGGCATGAAGGGTGTGAAACCTGGTCTTGCTTCGGCGGGTGAGGGTTAGTTCTATGATGTTCTAGGTTCCCTTTGGGTGAATCCCTGGGAAGCTTGCGCGGTGTTTCCCGGTTCTCAGACAGCAAATCCAAGGAAAGCATGCTGGCAGATTCCCAAGGGCGCTTCGATCTTCATCCTCATTGGTCCCTCGGGGCGCTTCATTCCCTTTGTTTCTTGCTCGATCACCTCCTAAATCGATCCACCGATCAACACGCCTTCGCCGGTCGCAACCTGTTACTGCAGGTCTCTGGTATGCCTTTGGCGACTTCTTGGAAATGCTTTCCATGGGTGCGATGACGGGTGGCGTGTACCAGCTCTTGCTTCAATCCAAGCTCTTGATCACTGCGGTGATGATGAAGCAGCTGAAAGGCACCACACAGAGCGACCTCCAGTGGAACGTGCTGATCGCTGCCACCTTAGCGATCTCAGCCTTCGTCATGGTTGACTCCGGCAGCGGCTCGGGTGAAGGCTCCCTTCCTCTCATGGGCGTTGCCATGGTCCTCCTCAAGGTGGGAGTGTCATGCTACGCAGCCGTGCTTTCCGATGCGAAATTGAAGGGCTTCAGCAACCTGGTCGTTCCTTTCTTCGAGGGTGAGAGTTCCTTTTGTCTTCCCCAGTGGGTGACTTGAATCTTTGGGTTACAATATATGATTGTCATTTTGTTTATTGACGAGCAAATCCAAGGCAACATGTCCATGTCCGCCAAGCTCTCCTTGATGTCGCTGTCTCGTGTGATTGCTTCCGTGGGCATTGCTGCAGTCATGGAGCCCAGTGTGCAGCCATCATATCAGTGGAGTGCAGCTGGATTCTTTGATCACTGGACGTTGGCCACCTGGAACCTTGGTGGAAATCACGTGAGCCGCGCTGAGCGCAGGAAATCAGTGAATCACCTGGAATCAAAGAATGCAAAGAGGGAGTGTGCTTGCATCTAGGGATCCCCAGAGTAGATAGAAAGGAGTTTTAAGACACTCATTGTAACAAAGTTTTTAGACTCTATAGACCATGATGACACTATACAATGTCAATGTCTTATATATGTCTTTCCTCTTGTCAATGACACACTCATATACAATCACATTGCGCATACATACAATATAAACATCTAGAATAACATTGTTTATGCGCGTTTCAGAGTTTGTCTTGGGGGTGCTGTGGCCGCGAGAAAGAAACTTATGTTATGTATGCACGTTGTCAGCCCATAAATCGGCTGGCGCAATGCGGCGAAGTCATCGCATCGCCTGGCTAAGCAATATTGAGGATGCAAAGTGAGTTCAGTGTTGAGGACCCGCCCCACTGGTGCAACGTGTTCTGCCACGCAAAGATGAACATAAGGACCACCCATCATCAGTACCATCCATCAGTACCACGCATGCGCAAGTCACTCAGACCTTTCCCTCACTCCCTTGCGGCAAGTCCACCTGTTCCTTCCGGAACGCCCGTCTCTCGTCTTGCTCGTTCTGTTTTTCACGCCCCTTCTCGAGGATCGTGACGGTGTCCTTTACCTCCAAGTCCTTGATTACGCTCTACTTGTTGAAGTCATTGGATGGCATCCAGAAGAACGTGGGCGAAGCCTTGGCTGTCATTGTGATCTTCCTGGGACAGATCCTTGGCTCCAGTCGGTGTGTCGAGTGGAGGTCAGATGCCAACCCTCAAGGGCTGATCAGATGGCCTCGAGTTCGACGATCACAGCTGACTCGCCGTGTACTGAAGGGAGTTTCCGCAACATCTCCCGAGAATCCTTGAAAAGGAATCGGCCCCAAACCACCTGATTCCACCAAGCATGTCCCATAGTCCATGATTCAGATGCTGAGGATTGCCGCCGGCTCCTCCGTCTTCAACCTTTGCGCCTTCTTGCTGGCTTGCTTGGTGGTGATCCTGGTGCGAATCTATGGCTTGGCTGGCAAGGTGAAGGCCAAGGCAATCGAGATGCCAAAGGCCAAGGATGCCAAGGTCACAGAGGTCAAGGCGGATCGGGCCGAAATTGTTGCGAAAGAAGGTTAGTGTCAGCTGCAGAAGCGAATGTTCCCCAAAGAGAGGGAGGACCGAGAGAGAGTGGGAGAGAGAACAAATTACAGCGTTCCAATAATTTCCAATATGTATCAGGTCTCACGTGATGTACCTTGCTCTATGACATTATGACGTTCTTTCATGTTCTATGTTAATTTCAAGTAGCAAACCACTCGCAGCGATTCCAGAAGGAAGATCACCACGAGATATCTACATCATTCATGATTTTCCCCAAGCTCCGTCTTGAGGGGTTCCGCTTTGGGTTTGATTGGGGTAGCATCTCCCATGTGAAGGTGGTGGATATCAAGAACACGAACTCTCCAGTTTGAGCATGAGAGCGGAGCGAGCTGACAGCAACTTAGGATAGATCAGGGCTTGGCTTGACGTCTACAAAGGGATGATGCCCGTTTTCTAGCCCCATCTAGTCCCGGATGGCTTCTTTGGCCTCCAGAAAAGTCTTTGTCACTCGATTCAGCCTTTCGGGGTTGCGTTCCAAATTTTGGCACCTTTTTCGCAGCGACCAGGGAACCAACAAACATTGCTTTGGTTTCCTGTTCTTTCGCTGTTGCATAGGTAGCCGCTGGTCGTTGGTGGCTTAAAGTCAGGCCATATGGCTACCTATGGGGCATTCAACGACTGTCCGGTCGTTGCCCAAACCTGGATAGAAAGCTCCTTCGCGACAAACACGTGCAGAGGGCTCGTTGAAGAGGTGGTGAGTTTGAGTACCAATCCAAGTTGAATTGGAACATATTTCGATATGCTGGCACATCATTGAGCATGTCCTTCTGAGGAATTGAAGGCCTGGAAAGGGACATCCACTGCGCTCGCTCCAGATTCTTGATTCGATTCTAAGTGTTGCACACTGAAGGATGGAATTCAATAAGGCAGGCAGCACATGACGCAGGCACCTCCTAACTGACCAAGTTGACACTCCGGCAGATGTTGCTTTCCAGCCAGCATTTCCGAGCAAGATTCCAGGGTCATCACAGGGCCCATGTATTTGGGCCGGTCGAGTAAAGTAAGAGATGGTTTTGCGATCGTAAGATATTATGATTGGCAATAGAAGCTAACATCAAGCTAATGCTTCGAGAATTTCCAAACCCGGAAATCCCTGGCAACTCACTTCAAGAAAGAACACGGTCTCTCAACACTGAAACTTGCCGGCACCTTCCAGACCTGGTAATTTTATCTTTCCCTACCAGGGAAGAAAGCAATTTTCTCGTTTGCTTATAGTGAGTTTCTCTTTCCCATGTAAAGCCTCTTTCAGGGATGCATTTCGTATGTGAACAACAAATCCAAGAAGACCGGCCGGCACATCCTTTCTTCACGGCCATGGCTCTGATTCTGGTCACGGGCGCGGCACGGGGCTTGGGCGTCGGCATTTGCCGCCAGCTCCGGCGTCAAGCGCCGGAGGCCCAGCTGCTCGTGGGCGCGCGGCGTGTGGCAGCGGCCCAGAGCTTGGCGGAAGAGCTAGGGGCGATGGCCCTGGAGCTGCTGGACAACGGGAAGATGAAAGGAGGTGGACAGCGGGAACGGAAGCGTGGTGGTATTTGTGGTTCGGCAAGTTCATGTGACCCCGTTGGATGTTTTCCACATGGCTGGCTTGGAAAGAAGTAGATAATAGATGCAGTTTACTTCTTTCACATCAAGTCCCACCAATTATTCCAGGGCCAGGGGTTGTCCAGCACTGTGCTAACACTAGGGGTTCTTATGGTAGGGGTTAAGGACGGGTGTTTGATCGAGGTGCTCGCATCCGCCGGCGGCTAATTCGCGCTATTTTACAGCAATTTCATTCACCTCGAGATCTTCGACGTGCACTTCGACTGCGTAGGCTCGCTGAATTTGGTGCTCTTCAAGACTGCGCTCTCGCTGTGGTGCCGTGCGCATTTTCAGACTTGGTGATCACTTTCCATGGCAGGCGCAAGGGAAACCTCGTGTTTTGGCGGCCTAACGTCAACTTGTCGAGACGGGCGCAGGAGATCGGAGCGGCTTTATGTCGATGTATGCGGATTTCATTTCGTGGCAGGCGCAGTACCTGGGACATGGTGGTTGTCTTCGGCGTGCTCTGTTTTCGCGGCAGGCGCGGTGAGTCGTGACCTTTTTGGACATGTGGCTCGATTTCAGAAACTTTTTGGCATCTTGATGTTGTCCCTGGAAGTGCTCTTGCTGCGAATCGCCTTGGCAGGCTGCTCAACGTGAATCTTTGTGGACCTTGAAGTGCAGATTTCGTGGCCGGTGCTGAAGTGCAAATTTCTGTGGGCAGGCTGCGCGTGGATTTCGTGGCAGGTGCGGTACTTTTTGGACCTTGAAGTGCAGACTTCGTGGCGGCCGCAGCACTTTGTCGACCTTGGCGGGGTGTAGATTTCGTGGCAGGCGCAGCACTGTGTCACACCAGCACCACCATCAACACTACCATCACCGCCACCATCATCAACATCATCATGGGGGCGCTTTGGCCAGACAACCCACTTTCATTTGTTTAATCCTGGCTCTGAAATGTCCTGAACTCCTCAGTGTAGTGTTTTTTGCATGATCAACTCCTGCAATGTGAGGCCAACTAACCCGTAGAGCTCATGGCACCGGAAAAACATGCACATCTTCGGATGGCTGGTGATGGTCCGATGGTCCTGATCGGCTACCCTAGCCTTCCAGGACGAATAAAAACAGTTTACCAGTTTTGACTTGTGTATATCGTGTAAAACCCTTAGCAAAGCAATGGTTGGTGGGCAGCCTTTTTGGGGGGGCTGAGTCTGGATGCTTGGCCATATGTCGACTGCTATTCGTCGACCCATACACTGATTAGAGGCTTGATTTAGCGGATGGGGTGTTCTTATATCTCGAACTGGGTGATTTTTTGGCAATGACACAGATGATTGTTTAGATGTGTTGTTTTTCCTTTTGCTTTTTGCCCGGTTCCTGGACAGCCCAGTTTTTCTGAAATCCGTGAGGTTGGATGTGGCGGACGAGGCTTCTTGCCGCTTCGGCTGGTGGGTCTCCACCACATAAGCCGAAACATTAGGCAGTCGGTGCATGTTCATTTTGCTATGAGACCAGCTGGCAGTTCTCATTATCGCAGCTGGGAGAACATGGTTCAACAGGAACTGCGGTATATACACTCAAGTCTTACCCATGAACCATTGAGCCCAATGTTTCGATCTGCGACCCTGAAAACTGTTGAAGTCTTTTGGAACGGTTTGGAGCTGTATCCCAAGTCCTGCTGGAGTCCTGCTCGACCGGAGCCCTGCATCAGCAAGGTCGAGCCTTCGAGTTGTCGACAGGGTGTGGGAGGATGCCATGACTTTTTGTTGTGCCGTGGGGTGCCACCGTGCGTTGACCCTGCAGAGCATTTGGACCGGTGCACGCAGGCGGTCTCTAACCTTGGCCGAGGTGCACCTCCCAACCTTGGTCCAGGCCTTTTTTTGCGGCAGATTGGGTTTTTAAGTCGCTTCATCCTCCTTCAGAGTGCCAGAAACTCAGGCCAACGTGCTGCTGAGCAGGTTGCGCGCCTCCGCGAGGGGCGCCCCTTGGTGGTGGTGCACAACGCAGGGGTGGCTTTCGACTTACCGTGGTTCGAGGCGCCATGGCCCGCCGAGGCTGCACGGAAGCGCCCTGGAAGATGAATCAACCATGGTCCATGGGCGAGTTCTGATGGCGTTGTTGAAAGCATCCACCTTTGACAGGATGAACTCCATGTAATTATTTCATCGGCCCAACTAAACTCAGAACTCAGATCGACTTGGTACCTAGTGCTAGGTAAGACCAAATCATTCACAACCAATGACACCGCCAGTACCAAACCAACTCAAAACAAAACGCAACTATTCCAGAAGCATCTCAAAGCTGCAAACAACCGAAAACAAAACCAGTTCAAGAGTAGATCATGCCATTCCAGAACCATCTCAAAGCCGCCTGCAACCAAAACATCCTAAATCATCCGAGCAAATCAGGTCCAAGTGCCTTAAAGGCCTCACAAAACCATTCAAAGCCACCTAAGGACCTTAGATGTCAACCTTTTTGGTTGCATCCGCTTGACCAGCGCCCTCTTGCCTGAGCTACTAGCTACTGGGGCTGGACGGCTGGTTGTGGTCAGCAGTGGGGCTGGGGCGGCCAACCTGTCGAAGATGTCGGAGGACCGAAGTACTTGCGGAGAGTATGACCAGCCGAAGTACTTGTGTCCGACCCATCCGAAACGGCAGAATGCATCTTGCCAACAGACGACGGGATCCAATCCATGTGCCTCCTCATGCCTCAACGTTGTCCGCTTTTTAGTTGAAAGTTGATGAAAGTTGAAAAAGACCCAAAACACAGAGGAATTGTAAGTCTGGCATAGGCTTGCGATCATAAGTGTTCAACTAAGTTGGTTAAAACTGAATTTGAAGGTTTCAAGCACCTTATGACTGAGAGCCTTTTGGATCCTTTTGAATCCCTTTAGGAGCGAAGGCAGCAGCTCATGGCAGCTGACGAGATGGGCATTCAGCGGATGTGCGAGGAATTTGTGAAGGATTATGAGGCGAGCTTTGAACGGCTCAGTGTCCTTATTTTTTCTATAAAAATTAACAATTCATATATATATATACCCCTTGGAAAAAACACTACAGAATGGATGGCCTTAGGGCCACTACAATTCTGCATTTTAGTTTATTTTTTGGCTCCCTGGGAGGGGGTGGAGCCTTGCAATCTATATAAAAGCGAGGTTTCATTCCCGGGAATGAAAAGTTGTTCTCGGGCCACCTGCACTTTGTATAATGACAGTGCCCAACCTTTGGTTGTCAATTTTGGAAATCACCAGTGGGTGCACTACAAAATGAAAAACCAGAGTTTATAGATGACTCATTGTTCAGAGCTTGAGGTTAGACCCTCCATTTTGTAGTGCACTTTGTCCTTTCTTATTTTTGTGTTTCAGTCCTTGCATTCTTTAGTGAGTGTCCTCGAGCACTTGCATTGTATAATGCCAAAACTCTGGCTCCCGCAAATCATTTCTATAGAATGAACGGCCCAACCTCTCCATGGGTATTTGCAGGGGGGTATATATATATTTCTTTGGGATCCGCTCAGATGCATGCAGCCGCATGCCGCTCTTTGCCACATCAACGTCCCCCGGTCCCCTTGAGGTTGTACTCCCCTGCAGAGGACCACATGGAGCCTCCCAAACCCACGGACCGCGCGGTCTTCAGCTACAAGCGTTCGAGCGGTCGAACCTGACGACCGAGTCACCAACGTCCAAGGTTTAGTGGTCGTGTACAAGCCCAGACACTCCGTGTATGCCATATATGCCTATAGATTGACCCCCCAAACCACCCCAATGTAAGCATATATCATATATGGCAGTCCCAGACGGGTCGTGTTTGGTACGGATCCTTTTGGCAGTCCGTGTCGTGTCTGGGAACCTCGGGCTTCGGTGGTCGATCACGGTGGTTCAGTCGGATCGGTGCTGCACAGCAGGTCGGCCCGTTCAGAGGTCCCCAAAGCGGATGGTTGGTAGAGACGGAGCTCGTTTCGGTACGGCCCAACATACAACAAAATCCATCAAAGACCTGCCCCACAGCCACAGCCTGGATATTATGCCTGGATGGTAGATTCATGTGGATGTTTTGTTGAAGTATCAGCGGCGGCTTTCTCTCCAGCTGCACGGTTCGGTGGACAAGCCGCTGTCCATCGCTGTCCACTTCATGTTGGACAGAGGGCGCTGTGAGACGTTACTCTCGGGTAATTATTTGTAACGTAGGGGTTCGTGCGTTTTTCTATTCTCTCCTGAGGCCTCAGCACGAGAACAAGCCGAGAAGCCTTTGCCCATCCTGAGCGATTCTGGGTGACCTGAGTTTGCTTCAGAGGCCTTGGCTTTTTCTCTTTGCTGGAACCCGCGCCAGTCAGTTAAAGGGCGCTACTTGTTTCCCCAAGCTCTCAACGATGTACTGAACCAATTACTCACTCTTAGTGGACTAAGTCTCGGACGAACACATGACATGGAAGTGCCATTCAGAGACCCTTAGGATGTTGATTTTCCCTTATAAACGGGGTGGTTTCCACCGAGCGAGTCGTTTCGCACGTCGTTTCTCACAAACTGCGCCGCCTTTGGTCCGGGAGTGCCCAGGTTTTGGCTCCAGTCCTACGGCTTCTCGAAGGCTTGCCTGACTCTTGGACCAGTTACGAAGGGGAATATGTTCGATCATGCAACCAAACCTCTCCACTGTTCCCTTTGAAGGTTGATAATTACAAATATACTGTAACTTACTATACCAAGAGAATACCAAGAGAGAACCCCAATAGTAAACTGTTCGGGGGATCATTTGCATGATATACTGGTATATATATATATAGTTGATATCCTGCAAAAATTTGTTCGTCTTTAGGGGTCAACCCGAGGTTCCAGATTTTAACCCACACGATGTATACGTCAATACATCCACCTTATCTCGGCCAGACATGACCGGAACCCTGATTGTGCTGGTTCCATGACTTGTACAATAGCTTCTTCACGGAATATGTTGGAACTGTTCCATATAAGCCATTTGGGGGGGGGAACAGGAGAGTGGTGGTGAAACGTCCAGGTGGTTTTACTTGGATCCAATGCCTCTCAGGGTGCGTGTCATGACTCTTCGGGCCGATGCCAGCATTGGTACAGAACTCTGTCAGGCAAACTTTTTCTTGCTTGAGGAATCACTTGCTTGGGGTCCAGGTTGCGGCCTCCAGAGGTGCCAAAGTCCGTATTCATTTGACATGGGTGCGGCCATAGCCAGGAATTTTCAGACTGGTCCCTTGTTTCACTGCCCAACCGGGCCCAACCCCCTAAGAACAGCACAACAAAATAACACAGCAGAACAGCGCTTCCCTTGTTCCAGTCTTTTTGGTGGACTCGACTCCACCAGCGAGACCGCGTTGGGCGCGGGTTTCGTCGGTCTCCAGGAACCGCTGGTGCCAAGTGATGGCTGAGCAACCTGGTTTGGGTGGATTCTTTATGCTTTTGTTTACAGCGTGGATGTTGAATGATTTTGATGACATAGACCCTATATGCTATGGGTGGATGTTTTATTCGGTGGATTTTGATGTGGGTTGATGTTTGATATATAACTATATGCGGAATATAGGATATCCCAGATGCTCCATGGGACTGCCATATATGTCTACATTGGCCCCCGAAACCACCCCAATGTAGGAGCTTGACCGACGTCCCACGGTGCCATATCCTGTTTCATCCATGTGTTTGATCTACCAGGACCCCCAGTCAGAGTGGTGGTTAATGGACACCCCGAATCACAGCTAAGGGGCTATACATAGACACCCCGACAGGAGGGTTTTTGATCTACAGCCATCATCCTGTAGCCGCAACTCCAAGGCAACACTCGGGACGTCTCATTTCGGTAGCTTGCTCTCCGGGTTTTGTCGAGACGGAGATGGTGAAGAGCTACAAGGGTGATTCCAAATTGAAGAGCGTCGATGAAGGCGGACGGGGGGGGAGATCGTGAAGGTGAAGAGCCACTGGAAGAGAGCAAACAAAGGGCAAGCAAGATGGGCATAAATTAGATGAATCATATGGTGTTGCTGAAGATTTGGTGTTGATCTTCTTTTTCCCAGACGCTCCCCCAATTTCCCCAATGCAGGCAAATGTGGCATACAATAGAGTGTTTGGGTTTTGTTGCTGTTGATTGCTATAGCTGCTAGTGCTTGTTAGTTGTTGGTCCTTGCGGCTTGGAAAGGCTGGTTTCTTTTCAATCCGGAACCTGTAGATTTCATGGACAGGGTAAACCTTTGAGTTCGCCGAACCCCGATGGGAAGGCAGACGGCCATCGAGCGCCGCCCAGCGTGCGCGATCCGCGCGGCTCGCGTGCCGGTCACAGGTGGAGATTTGTGTGCATGGCTCGCGTGCTCGCCGGCGGTGGAGAATGGCTACTACAACCCAGACCGCACTCGGGCAAGCTGAGGGCTCCAACGCTGGAGAAAAATGAACGTGTTCTTGTGCAGGTGGGATACAGATGGCTCTTTTACTCTTTGGTTAGTTGATTCGTAGAGGGGGTGTATTGCCCCATTATGCTCATTATTTCTCTCCAAGTAACCTTTTTTTTCGACCCCTTTCTTATGATTCCTTAAAGGGACATCACTGAGTCACTGGGTGGATTTTTTAGGGGATGATATGAGGTCACGGGTCAGAGTGAAAATACATCCAACTCTGGGCTCACTTTTAAGATCTTTAAAACACTATATAATTATATATAACTATATATATATAACTTATAACATATTAAAGCGCAGATCGGTTTGCCACATGACATTTCGGCACCATGTGTATGTTTTTGCAATGTCCTCGTTTTGCTTATAATCTAGATAATGATAAGGGATTTTTTTGTATTTTCCTGATGCGTACACCCGGGAAGATCAACATGGAACCTGAAATTGGAACGTTGGACGACTAATTATTTGTCTCTACAAGCCAGTGGTTTTCAGGTTCCATGTTAATTTTCGAGGGTGTAGTATCCCCTTCTGGGGAATACTTGTTATTTTTTCCAGGCGTCTGAAGCAAATCCAAGATGTTGCTTTGTTGTGCTGCTTGGCTTGGGTCAGCAAATGTGCTGACACTCCCAAGTGGAGGCGTGCCAAACAAACAAAACACAACAAGGCGGGATGAATGTTCTTGGGCCAAACAGCTGTATACAATGGCCCACATGCCCTTCCCCTACGTAGTCCCTCCAAGTTTAATTTGGTTCATCAACCCCCACAAGCCGGGTGCCGAGGAAGAAAAGAAGGTGCTGCTGCAAAAGGATTTGGATGAACGGCCCGGGCCCTGTCAACCCAATTTGTTTCATAATATGCAAGTTCTGAAGCTGGCTGTTTGGGAAAACACTTTTTTGCGTGCGTGGTGGTTGGAGATGAAACGTGCCAAGAACAACATGTTGCGCTTGTTCGCTATTGACAACCTTGTTTTGTGTTGTACTTTTAAATTCAAGTTGTGAGTGTTTAAAGGTCTTTAAGATTTTCCCAAAAGTAACAACATAGAAAGAGAAGAACCCACTTGTAGGCTGCTTCGTGGACACCCCTTAGCCATCCTTTATCTCTTTTCGGGGCTTTGAGTATGTACTGGAAAGAGGGGGGTCCTTCGCAGAGAAAAGGCCGTCCCCTCTTCATACCCATGCCTTGCGGATTGGGCGGACTCCACGTGGGCATGAGCCCTGAAAACCATAGCCAGAGACAAAAGCATCCCAGAGAGACAGATATGCTGGGGCATGGCCGCCTGTTCAAGTCCAGTGGGATGAAAAGTGAATAACACTTGGCCTGCGAAAAAAGAAAGCCTTTGAAGTGGATGGACATCCTGTATTCACAGAGACGACTTGAAATGGACAGCTTCTGGTCTCAACCAGCAGGCCTCAAGTCTACTAGGAGGGCTTGCTTGCCGTGCTCAGTGGATGGACACATGCCTCCGCGGGCCGGACCCTCCCAAAGCTGACACGCCAGACATGTGGCAGGACCCACAAGGGCTGGCCAATGGACACCCATGAATAGACACCCCTTAAGGGGGCCCTGGTAGGTTTTACCTGGCCTTGACCTCCTTTGGAACTTGGCCTTCTTGGGTCCGTCCGGGACCGCTCGCCACAGGAAACGGAAAGTGCAAGAGAGCCTCAAAGAGAAGGCGCATCGCCCCGGAGCAAGGCCCATTGTGCTGGCTCGCACCACAGACCTGGAACCCGGATCCAAAGGGATCCATGTGGATATGGATCAATCGCATTCAGCATATTTCCAACATGTCCAAACCATTCAGCATGACCATCCATGACCCAAACGCTCCATGGGACTGCCATAGGACTGCCTAGAAAAATTGGGGTGGTGCCAGGGGGGTCAATGTAGGTATATGGCAGTCCCATGGAGTGTATGGGTTATGTAGTTCTCATTGGCATGACCATTAGCATCCATTAGCAGTAACATGTGACCACCCGGTCCAGATCCCTGGGAGGGCTATCCTCAGCCCCTACACTCGTGCAGCGACGGCTCGCTACCGACATCGCTTCCTGTTCTACGTATTGACTGGCTTGGTTTTCCTGCGAGCAGCTGGGGGCGCAAGATGCAAAAGATGGAGCAATGCAAGAACCACTATAAGTCCATAGTTAATAGTCCATAGTACCACTATACTATCATAGTCCATAGTTAATAATAGAGAATGCTCCGTTCTTCTTGCCGTGTGCGGATTAGCAGCGGTTGCTTGAGCCACCGGCTTTGCAACACTCGGTAGTGCTGTCACCGGCTTCAGTTGGTGGGCTTGGATCACTTGTTATGGAAAGTTTGACCGTGGAATCAGAGGTTCGATGGCCGAATTCCGGAGGAATTCGGTGGTTTTTTCCGGCACTGTGGCACCTGTCGACAGACATGGGGTGGGGTGCCATCGACTCTGTCGACGCGCACATGAGGTGTCGACCTGCCGTTTCCGAGGCTCCGAGTTGAGTTCCGAGGCTCCAAGTTGCATCAGAGGTCCGTGCACTGGTCACACAGCCTGTCAGAGGTAGGTCCGGAGTTTAGACCAGCCAGGTGTTCTGTTCCATCCGGACTGGAACAGCGACCTATATATGGATGGGGTCATCACAAGTCGAGTCATGGAAGTCGTCAATGGAATACAACTGTTCCAGTCCCATGGGATCAACTCGTCAACTACCTAGAACCCATTGGACCTAGAAGCTGTGATAGCAAAAGACATCAAAAGACAACGTCAAAGACAGGCTCTTCTCTTTACAGGAGTCTAGCTCGAGTCCATCGAATGTTGCTAGGTATTTACAAGCCCGTGGAAGACCACCGACACGAGATTCGTCGCCAGGAGATCAGGCAGAAACAGCTCGTCCGGATGCCCCGAGATGGTTTTCTCTTCCGACCGATTTCCGCGGCGCGTTTTTTTCAAGCGCCCGGGGAAAGTCGAGCGGACGGACGGATGCCGAGGCCTTGGGTTTTCAGAAGAACTGGTTGATGTTTCCCGTAGCAGACAGAGCTGAAAGAAGCTAAAGAGAACGATATTCCCTCAAACCACCCCGCATGTCTTAGATTAGCGCGCAACTGGCCCCAATTCAATTGGGAATTCATGGTTTCCTCCAACCGGGCCAGTTGCATTCGGGGCACAATGCGCTTCAATGCGTTTTGCTCCTTTGATAGGGCTGCATATCCGCTCACCTGCCACAGCTGCTAGGAACTTGTTTGCTGGTTCATCAGGGATTCCAGTGGAGCTTTTTCAGTGACCAATAATGGGAAGACAAAAGCAGCCCAGAAGATTATGTGGATTGACATGTCACCTGGAACAATGCAAATGATGGGTTTTGAACTTCTCATGTCATGTTGGACATGTCGAACGTGAAATATAGCATGATGTGTCTAAGGTGTCCATTAAAAGAGACAAGGCCATGCAAAACCCATGTCAGTGGGCTATGGCAGAGTCATGGTGCACAGCACCCACGTTCCAAAACTCTCCTCCAAAACCACTGGCCGCATGACTTCCCGGAAGAGATTTTATCCGAATAGGGTTACTGTATTTGAGTTTATGATGCTGTTCATGTGGGGGGGTCGGCCTGGGTGCCATTTGCAGCGGCCCTGGATCGTCGCGACGGTAGGATGAAGAAGACATGCTGTTCTCAATGGCCCATGAGGAGTCAAGACAATGGAAGTTCTTAGACTTTTGACAAGCCAAGTCAGTAGCTCAAACCAAGCATCAACATGCATCAACCACCATCAACCTATATATATATATATGTGTGTGTGTGTGTGTGACAGTCATCTTCGGAAGTAGGATCGGATCAGCTTTAAGGATTCCGAAACACAGTCACATCGCCCACATGAAGCTGGTTCAAACCTCTCAACCGAACACACAGCGCCTTGGCAAACTCAGTGCTTCGCCGGCATCCCGGTCAAGCCGGGTCATGGCGGTGGAGGTAGATCCTTTGCAAGCGACCTGGCTTTTCCCGGAGTGATTGGGCTGTGGGTCAACATGGTGGACCTCCAGGTTTTGATCCGTTTGCTTATTTTTTCGCAGAATTTGCACCCTAGGGCCTAGGGCCTGCCACCTCTCAAGGTACTGAGAACCCTCCCCATTGAAAGGACTTGATCATCCTACAAGTGAAGCTTGGACAAGAACGTGTGTGCAGCCAAACTTCGAGTGAGATCCACGAAACCGGCGGCATTTTGGTTGGATTGGTTGGAAGTCATTCAGTCATTCACTGCTCCTGCATTGGCCCGGCCCATCGGCAGTGTTGGACCGAGTACTTCAATGTTTCGCACTGGTCGCAGGCTTCCACGGTCGAAGCGCTTGCTCGCACGGCGTCGCTCCGGTAGCTGTATAGCCGCGTGAAGAGGTCGAAACGGTCAGGGACATCCCACATCAACACTTTTGGGGGAATTTCGGGAAAAAACTGTACCGTTCTTTTTTTCAAGATGTCCTTCGATGGGGGTCCATTAAACCACCAAACTTGGGATTGTGCCATCTATTGCCATCTACTCTGAAACCACTGTAACAGTTCACAACCGGCCAAGACCAGAGCCGTCTAGCAGCCGAGCAGGCAGCCGGCTAGATGCAACAAACCACCCCCACAGAGGTAGCTGAGTGGGTAAGGTGTGTGAGTGTGAGGGCAAATTGAGAAATGCCACCCAAGCTCAGGAATACTGGGTAGTAGTTGGATGTAGTTTGTTGGAGCCACACCCAAGACTGACCATGCCGAATTAATGTCTCCAGGCTCCCTTCTTTTCATCTCCCAGATCATCGTCTCAGGTCACGAATTGGTCCGAGGTCCCGGGCTTGGCGAGATGGAGCCTTGGTTGGTGGTAGACCGGTAGCACCGGTCGAGCGAAAACACAGGGAGACCTCCCAGGCAGTTCGACCCCCTGCAACAAGGGATTCCCCCGATCAGAATACGCACCATCGTGTCAACCGCATGAAGGTGACCGACACGAACGGGAAAATCAGGGTCTGACCGCAGCGA